CTTTATTTTCAGCTCTCTGAAGAACTACTCCTCACTTTTCCCAGGATTTAAAAATCATGTTAACAATAAGCAAATATAGCATAGCCAGATGCCTTTCATGGTCAGATGGTTCATTGTTTAAAAAGCTTCAGTTTAAAATCCAAAAGATTGTTAACAGATGCAGTTTCTGGCTAGAGACTGGGAAAAACCTCATTTAAACAAAAGGGTATGTTGTGATTGGAGCTAAAAAGGGAATTACCTCTAAAGATAAGAACCACAAATATTTCCTATTTGAAAATACCCCAATTCTACCAACAGGACCTTTTTGGGACCGTTCATGAAAGTTTCAAAAATTTGACAATGGATTGCTGTCTGTGCAAACCAAGACCAAGTGGCCAGTGCAGCAACTGTTAGAGATTTGTTTGGACTTGCAGCAAGGCCACGCCATCCATCTCTGACTCTCCCTCATATTACTCAATTAGGCAAGGTTCCAATTAATTTCTTTCCATCATTTTCACCCTAGAAATACTTTTGTTTCTTGCATTTTGGCTCTGGAAATGAATTTCAACCAGAGACTCAGATAGAAAAGTTTCCTAAATGACAGAGTCGATAAGCAAGGAGCCACTGCTGGGATGTGAGCTGCTGTTGGAAGGAGACAAAGCCTCTGGCAGAGAACAGCTTGACCCTGAGCTCAGTTTTGGCCTTGTTTGCTTCCATGACTTCTGTTCACTTCTGCACAGAGAGGCCTGCTTTTCACCAGCTCCTGTGGTCTGTTTCTGTTGGCTGCCGTGGTTCCTTACTTGGTGGCTTTGGTGTGTGGGAGAATATCTGTGCTGTCCTGGGTTCTAATCTTGAAAGATGGGAAGTCTGAAGGAGTCATGGGTGTAGCCTTCCCTCAGCCTGAGAAATGGATGTGGTTTGGCTTGCTAGTGATAAGCCCAAACTGAAAAGGCTGTGTTCCAAGGAAAATAATCTGTTCTTCAGACTAAGGATGGCTACCACAGAGCCCATTCTGAGAGACATAAGAGATGGCTCTTACTGGAAGAGGTAAACAGATTATCCTTTGGTTGATTAGGTTTTTATGTCTTTAGATTCATTGTGTATTTCTCGATTTATTGTAGTGCCCCAAAGTGTCAGTTTTAGACCACAGGCATAGTATATTTTTAACAGTTTTAAATAAATAAAATCTAGAATTGAGGGGCTGGGGAGATAGCTCAGTTGGTAAAGTGCTTGGTGCATAATCACAAGGACCCGAGTTTGAGTCCCCAGAACTCACATAAAAACTGGGTATGTCAGCTTGTGCCTATAATTCCAGCACTGGGGAGGTAGAGACAGGAGGATCCCTGGGGTTTGCTGGACAGCCAGTCTAGAAGAATTGGCAAGCTTCAGGTTCAGTAACGGAATTGGTCTCAAAAAATGAGATGGAGAGTGATTGAGGAAGACACCAAATGTTGACCTCTGGCCACGTATGTACCCTTCCATACACAAAAAAGAAAATCTTTAGCTAAGTCATGCAACCATTCATTTGAAAATAATCCAGATCTATAAGTCCATCGGAGTCTCCAAAGAAAGTGGTTGCTCCACTCAGCTATACCACTGCTTCTGGACAGGAGCTAGAAGGACACTCAGATATCTGTGCAATCTGGCCAGGGGTGAGCAAAAAGGGTCATCCATCATAAAGTGGGATTCCACAGTCAGTGGCCACATTCATATCCATCCTCACACAAAAGGCCAACCCCACCACACACACTTGAGATGAGGCTTTAGAGGGGATCTTATAGGCCTGGAAATTGAAAAATGAGCAGCAGCTGCGAGCCTGAGGTCATCACTATCCTCCAGGGTTTGCCTTCTCTAATGTAAGGGCAGTAGTTTCCATGATTAATTTTCAATTGCTGTCAAGGGTGTAATAAAATCTGGGAAAGAAGAGAAATTCCCCTCAGTAAGCTGCTCCCATTTGCTTCCCGTTTCCCACCCTCCAAGACATATTCTCAAACCATATGTTGTACTATTTCATAGTTTAGAGAAAAAAGGTCTGCATTAGGATTGGCCAAATAGACCATGCCCTCTGCACACAGCCACTGGGGGATTTCCCATTCTTGGTCCCTGTGACAGACCTTTAAGATGGTAATATGTGGCTGGCGAAATGGCTCGGTAGGTAAAGTTGTTACAACCAAGTATGATGACCTGAGTGCGATTCCAGGGTCCCACAGGGAAGAAGGAGAGAACCAAGTCCCACAAGCTGTCCTCACACTTCCACATGTATGCCGTTGCATGTGCGTGAAAGCTCTAAAGAAAAAGGGAGATGGCAGCATGAATGCCCCCTTGGTTCCAATGACCACATAAACCTGTGGGGGCAGAACTGAGTACATCCCACAGTTGTTTCTTCCTAGTGAATGCTATATGTTGTTTGAGCTAAATAGTTCTTTCAACAAAAAAGTGGCTTTCTGGTTGGTAAGACATGTCCAAAGAGCAGAAGAGGAGAAGCAGCGCACTAATGACTACTTACGGTACTGGTTATCTCAGAGGGAGAGGCTGAGGACTTCAGTCGGGGCTGATCTGATAACAGTTCCAGGGTCACCCTGAGAGGTTACAGCTGGGCAGATTTTTCAGCAACTATCACCAGGGAGAACCTGACATGCCATTTTACCTGTTACAATTGCTCAGGTGAAAAATTAAATGTACTTTAAAATTTTTTGGCAGTCTTCAGTATAACACTGTGCTAGATGGCTTCAGTTGTCAACTTGATGCATGTGGGAAGAGGGGACCTCAGTTGAGGCACTGAGTCCACTGGACTCGCCGGTAGCCATGTCTGTGAGACTTCTTTTTTTTTTTTTTTTTTTTTTTTTTGAGAAAAATAAACCAAATTTTTTATTTGTTCATTTCTTGTACAGGTGCATCACAACTGGATGCAGGCACATAGAGATGGGCTTGGTACTTGTCTAAGGCTTTGGCAGCTTCACAAATTCCACATGCTAGGCCATCATGGATGAGGGCAGTCTTTAGCACCTCTCATAAAGCAGCATTAACATCCATCACACCTGCAGCAGTAGTGCCTTCCTGGCCCTGGATTACAGGTGAGGCTGAATCCTGAACACACCCAAGTCTCCTCCTGTGTGTGACTCAGCAGTGTCAGGTGAAGCATTTTCTTAATTGCTGGTTGATGTGGGAGGGCTCAGCCCATTGTGGGCAGTGCCGCCCTTGGGCAGGTGGTCCTGGGTGGTGTAAGAAAGCAGACTGAGCACAGACCAGAGGGGCAGGCAATGCTCCTGTGTGGTCTCTGCTTCAGCTTTTGCCACTAGGTTCCTGTGTTGAGTTCCTGTCCTGGCTTCCCTCAGTGAAGGACTATACTGTAAAACTGAAATAATCCCTTTCCTCCTCATGTTGGTTTTGGTTAGAGTGTTTTATCACAACAATAGAAAGTAACTAGACAAACACTGAGGGCAATCATAATTAGTCCAGTACAAAGTATAAATGAGAGAGTTGCAAAGATGGGTAAGTCTTGGTGCTTCACAAGCACAGTATGCAGATTCACTGAGACAGCAAAGACGCTCCTTGGAGGATGGTGTACCAGCGACACAAGGGCAGAGATGCTAAGAGATGGCCCTGCAAGCATATGGAGGTTCTAAACTGCATCTGGTCTCCTAGTAGTTTTCCCTGTTGGACACTAGGTGTCTTTAAAGATACTAGGTTGCTACCATTTGCTGCTGGTTCCCTAGGTTAAGAGTGGGTAATGGGGTGTCTGTTCTGTGTCAGAACAAAGTAGCACGTCTCCTAGGTGCTGGCACTTCCCACTTACTTGGTTCAAATCTCTGATAGAACAGAGGGGAAAAAGGTGAAAGGGACCACAAGCATCACTATCCAAAGCAGAGGTAGGGCTGGTCTAAGAATCTGGAACAGGCTTTAAGAAATGGGAGAGAAAATTATATTTCAGAAGCTCTCCTGAAGTGATGCTCAGTGCCAAGGACACCAGAGAGCACGGATTCTGGCAGTTTCATTCCCCCATGGTCCTGGCTTTTAATTCAAGTGACTGGTCAGAACGAAGGTAATGCCATGTTCCTAACAATGGGCTGTGAGGGAACGGTGGGCACTGAACTCCTGAAATGAAGGCTAGCGAGATGACTCACTGGGTTAAAGCACATGCCATTCAAGCCTGATGACCTGAGTTTGATCCCTGGAAGGAGAGAACTGATTCTTAAAAGTTGTCCACAAGTGCCATGGTGTGTGCATGCACAAAATAAATTTATACACACATAATAAACACACATAATTAATTACACACACATAATATTTTTTAAAAAAAAAAACTGATAGCCAGATGTGGCACATGCTTTTAGTTCCATACTCAGGAGGCAGAGACAGGTGGATTTCTATGAGGCAGAGGCCTGCCTGGAATGGTTTAAGTGAGTTCCAGGCCAGCTGGGGCTACAGAGTAAGAGTCTGTCTCATAACAAAACAAAACAAAACAAAACAAAACAAACAAAACAAAACAAAACACCCCTCCTGAAATGTGTCCCTAAAAGTGGGGTGGGGGAATGTCTTTGAGTCTTCACTTTGGAAGGAGTAGTAACTAGAGAGCACTGTATACTATGAGGATGATAAGCCCACACTATAGAGACAGCGAAATGTCAATGTCAAGTTTTATTACGTTTGGTACATGTAAAGCCACAAGGTGGAACACTCACCCCCACAACACTCACCCCCATCTACCTGCACTCAAACTGCTATATAAGTAACAGTCGTGAGACGACTCGTCTGTCTCACATAAGCCTATGTTATTTCAGGTCTCAATTACACACGATTATGAACAGCAGTAACAGGTGTAGAGGAGTGCAATGACCTGTTCATAAAAATAACATCTAAGCAGTCAACACTTGCTACACGCAGCCCCCAGGCCTCTGCACGACATGTTCAATCTGGTTTTCACATCACAAAGAGCTAGCTGAGTCTTGTTGATAATATGCTACAGAAGGAATCCAAAGTGATGATCTTCCCCTTAGCTATAATCACAGTTAATACCTTACCTTTTTCTTGCTACAGTATATCTGCCACTTTTTCTCAGCTGGAAGTGCAAACATGGCTTCCCTGTGTTTGTCTGTGAGGTCAAGTTCATCCTGGAAAGAAAGAAAATGATCAGTATTACACAGAAAAATGTTATTCCTCTAGAGAACAATGCCTATATCATCAAGGAGAGAAAAACACAGCATACATTTAAATAAACTTAAAAAAGAGGGATACGGTATCAAGGTGTGTTCTACTACTAAAGCAACACACACATCTTGGCACAGGGCCAGACATCAAACATCGCAAGATGGATGAAGCACAAAATGGCAGGTGTCCAAGATTAGAGAGAATGGGCCTAACTTGGATAGAACCACCCTTAGTCACTGTCAATGCCGTGTAGGGTACACTGAGCAGTAAAGGGTGTCGAGCTACAGGAAGTCAGGATGAGGATATTAAAGAAGAGGGTTTGCTGTGGACAGCCTCATGGACACTGATTATCAGAGACTAACTCTTAGGCAGTGGATGACTTAGAGGTGGTGGGGAAAGGGCAACTGCTATAATTCAGATTCCAAATGTCCCCCAAAGGTCCATGTGCTGAAGTCCCCACTGTGTTCCAGTGGTACTACTGGGAGCCTATGGGATGGTTTGGAGGCATGGCCTAGAAGAGGAACATGACCTTAGGACACTGGGTTGCACCCCCAACAGGGACTATGAGACTTTGGCCACCCCTCCCCTCTGTCTCCTGGTCATAATGTGAATGATTTTACTTTGTCACATGTTCCCTTTAGGACAGTACTATCTTACCACAAGTTCACAACAGTGAAGCCAAAGATCATGAAATGGAATCTTCCAAAGCGGGTTCTTACTATAAGGTAACAAAAACCTTATCTTTTTATAAATTAATTGTCATAGGTATTTTGTTACGGTGACAAAAAACTGACAAGTACAACAACAGAAAACAAGACTAGGCTGGGGTAACAGAGGAACCTAAGAGACGAACCTAAGAGGGCCACTGATTATTGCATCCTTGTTATAACAGCAATCTCTGCTGCAATAGAACTGGGGGAAACTCAGGTTGACGATAAGGCAAGTCACTTCCTCCAGTCTATATACACACTTGCTAAACAATGGGGATGGGTTTTAAGCTCAGAGATGCCTGACTCCAGAGTCCAGACTCTTTGTTTCTCCAATCAGTGTCTAGAAACATTAATCTTACAGTGAATGGAATACAGCAAGCTACAGGCATTCACAACTAATGAATAGGATAATGAATATGGAGTGCTTAGAGAAAAGGTCCTGGCATTTAATAAGAACTCCATCTGTAGTCAACGTTATTATTGATATTGAGCATCTGGTATATTTTCATTCCCACAGGGAAAGTTATCTAGTTGAGAAGGGTAGATTGCTGGGTGTGGGTAACAGATAAAAGCTTTAAATGAATGTGCAATAAGGTTCTGATCCCTGAATGTAAGTAAGTTCCCTCCTGAAAGGCTTGTGTTCACACTTGGGGATATGCAGGCACAGCACGCTGACTTCCTATCTTACATCTTAGATTCCTACATCCACTGAGTCATTGAGTCCCATTATATCTTCCTTGAAATGATTTTCCCTTTGTTTCATTCACAATGAAACCACCCAAACTTACTTAACTCCTAACAACCCCTCCCTTGTTTTCTGGCATAGCCTCCCACGGTTCCTACTTGCCTTTCCAGTCCTTCCTACTCAGGGCACCTATAATTCTCTTAAATTAGTTTTTTTAAACTTGGGTAAGCGTTAGAATCACCAGAAGGGCTTCTCACATTACTGATCACAGTGTTTAGACTGCATGGGAGGAAATGCAGCACACACATCTCTAAGTTTCCAAGGCGTTTCTGATGCTCCAGTCTAGAGATGACATTTCAGAGTCACTGTCTTAAAAATAAGCACTGGCGCTGTTTCAAGCACCCAGTCCGGAATCTTCATTACTTCCACACTGGATGAAAAAAAAATCAATTATCCATTCCTCAGCCTGCCTCTTGGGGTCTTCCATTTATAACTCAACTCATTTTGCCAGGCTTGCTTCTAGCTATCCCTTTACACTCTACCTCATTAACACCTACCCCTCCAGAGCCCAGCACATGCCAGCTTCCCCCAGTAAGTTCTGCATCTCATCAAGTCTCTACCTCCTTCACTGCAGGATGGGTATACCATTTCTCTTGCAAATACTAGCAACAACTAAATGCGTATTAATGCCTCACATAGGGTGGCAACTACTGCTGGTAATTTTCTCACTTGAACATAAATCAGTTGCTAGTTTCTTTTAAAAGTGGTATAAACAGTTAAGTCACTAAACCATGTACATGTACACACACACACACACACACACACACAAATTATACCCTAACCACAAGAAACTAGCTGTTAAAAATTTCAACAATGAACAACCAGGAAAGGAATGAAGGACTTGCACAGAAAATTCCATCATGAGGAAACATGTTTTAAAATTCTAGAATTTTGGCATGCAACTTCATGTATGGGAAATAATTCTCTTCCTTCCTGTTTAAATTTCCTGTAAGTCACAACAGCTCTGAAGAATATGGGAAATAAGGGTAACATAAATCACTTCCCAATAACCAGCTCACTTAATCAAATTGCTCAGCAATCTCAAACTCAGTTTGGGGAAAATGTTTTTGATTGGAGAGAGTAGCATTCTTCGAAATACACTGTTTACTACAGGATAGCACAGTGTTTGCTAACTGAGTAGAAGTGTGGAGGAATGTGTGAATCCTAAAGCTTAGAAATTTACAGATCAGGGGGTAATAGTATCGGATTTGCATATGCTGAGGTGCAGAGATGACCGATTTTAAATGAAGGAAACACGGATACATGAGGGCTAATAGACAAAAGAATGGGGCTAATAGGCAAAAGAATGTTTACAGGATAAAAACAAAGTGTTTGTAGTGTGTCTGGACAGAATTCTATACTACAGTAAGGAGATGGGAAAGACAATGTATTCGGATACAAACAATTGTTGAGTATTTGCTGAGTGTCTATTAGTAATATTATATAAGGACTAATTTAATTCATACAACAATCCCACCAAGTGGATATTATTAACCTATTTTCTAGAAAACTGGGTCATAGAGTGAGTAAGCACTTTGCTCCAGGCACCAAAGCTTGTAAACAGTGGAGGTGGAACCTGAGTGCCAATGGCTGCAGAGCCTGAGCTCTTAACTGGGACACACTGTATTCTGTCATTCGGTCAACAGGTGGGTAAAACATGTCACAGAAACAGGCACAAAAAGGCATCCATTAAATATCTGTTAGAAGCAAGAAGGAGGTTTTGTTGGCAGCTTGTAGGTCTGGCTTTTATCAATTATGCAACCTTGGGTGAGTGACTTGGTCTCTGACCTCAAATGCCTTCATCTGAAGACATCTGAAATGACAATGCCTTCCTGACAGTTACCTCAAGAATTCATTCATGAGAGGAAAAAAAAATGCCGAGTATCTATTAAATGTCAGGCACTGTGATAGCATAGGGGATGAAAGGTATCATCTGTTCATGTGGACAGAATAGAAATCAGACAATGAGGGATGGTCACATGCTAAGCTTGTGACAGAGCAGTTACAGTGAAGGTCTCCTCAGGGAAATGGCTGGTAAAACAGGAATTAAGCAGGTAGAAAGCACTGAAGAAAGTGACCAGCAGGGGTGAAAGCCACTCTGAACTTCAGTCTTATCCACAGAGTTATCGAAGGTCAGTGGTGGGTTTCAGGCAAGCAGACTGATATAGATTAAATCAGATAAGCAATTTAATCCTGGGAGGGCTGAACCACAATGTCCAGGATGTAATGAGATCCTTCCCACCCCAGCCATTCCGAAAGACTCTCTGCTCAGACTCATCCTATTTTAATAATATGGCTCAGTCAAGCATGCAAGACTCTTAAGTGACTATGGAAGCCTTAAGAGGTCTTACCTATTCCAGAACTACAGCCAGGCAGTGTAAAGAATACTCAGATGAACAGCATACCCTGGCTTCAAGCTATTTATAATCTGGCTACAAAGACAACATGATAGAACATTTTACCAGTTCCCTTTCATTTTAGGAGAAAGTCCGACCTCCATAGTAGGTAAGGTGCTTCGGGGCAGAGCCCCTGTTGACCTCCCTTACCTCCCCAACCCCTCCTGTTCCACAGCATCTTCCAGAACTTCTCATCACACCTCACCAGCTTCTGGAACAGCTGCTCTGACTTTCCTGGGATGGCCAGCTCCTCTGTGTACTGCAGCATTTCACACAGGACTATGGTCAGGGTGCTGCCATTTCTCACTCCCATTATGTACTGGTTTCTAGAGGACAGCAGCTCAGATAGTTCTGCTCATCTTTGCACTAACTGCTAGTCCCTGAAATAACAGCAGGAATGCAGGTGTTGAGAGGAGGGAAAAATGTGAGGTGGGAGGGAAGAAAGGCCAGTGGGGAAGCTGAAGGGAGGGAAAGTGTAAGCAACTCATTGTGCAGATTAAAACAGGGCTGGAGAGGTGGCCCAGTGAGTGAAGCCCTTGTATCTCACCAAGAAAATGTAAGTAATGGAGTTTGAATCCCCACAATCCATGTAAAGCAGGGTACAGTGACATGCATTTGCCATCAGTGCACCTATGGATAGACAGAAGATAGACACAGCAAAATTCCGGAAGCTTGCTGGCCAGCTGTCCTACTATGTGGTCAGTGGTTTAAAAGTGTGTGTGGGGGGGGGGTGTCCTCTGACCACCACACATGCACTGTGGTTCATGTGTGCCAGCACTCACATAACATACATGAACACATATCATACACACACATAAACAAAATAAATACCACCTACTCTTATTCCTTCTTTTATTTTTTGAGGCAAGGTCTTACTTGGTATCCTAGGCTAGCCTGGAACTCACTAAACAGCCCAGAGTGGCCTCAGATTTGTAGCAATCCTCCTGTCTCCTCTCCCCTAAGTGTTGTGATTATAGACATGAGCCACCACACCTGGCTTGTAAAACTCTTAAGAATACTGAATTAGCAAAAGTACAAAATATGGCTTTCCCAGATATGCCACGCTTTCATCTCTTGGTGCCTCATCTTTTCAATGTAAGCTGTCCTAGAGT